CAAAAGACGCTGGAAAAGAAATAAGAAACAAACATAACAGAAAACACTCCAACAACAAGTGTTTTAAAACAAGGTAGAAAAAGCTATGGAGGTAGAAAACACCCTACACACTTTAACATCTGTTTGCGCTTTAAGAGACATTTTTTTTTTATTATTATTGAAATTTTCAAAGAATTTAATGAAGATAAAATTTGCACAAAAATTAAGATTTGAGTTGGATTCTTTAATATTACTCTTAGCTTTAATAAAAAATGTGGGCTATGTTTTTGTTATTCCTTTTAAAATTACTTTCTAATTATAGTTAACGCGGGTGTATACTTTTTTATTTCTTTGACAAAAAGTACTACTTCCATTTATAGTTAATGTAAGGGTGTATTAACGTGTTTTAATGTAATTTTATTAGATTAAAATTATAATAACTATAAATTATAAATTGGTAGAGGTATTAATGAATTTTTGGAGTGCAAATATAATTAGTCTAGGCTTTAATTTTCATACAGAAAGCATGTTCGAAATTTAACTCACTAAAAATAATATTCCTCTAGTTAACCGAAAGATTATACAGTAATACACCTGTTTTATCTTCTTGTTGTATACTCATTTTTTTAAAATTATTATTAGTTATTTTTAAGACATCAAAAGATCAACGAGTTTGTCAATTAATTTCACTTATTTTATTGAACATGTGATCAAATCTCGTCTTAGGCATATATAGAAGCACGAGATTATTTTTATTCTTGTTTTATAAAGGCAAGATCGAACTTGTCCATACTCAAATTTTGAAAATTTGATTTTACAATTAAAAATCTTATAAAATTTCAGCTTTGACATCACTATATAAAAAACTTATAATGGTGCCTTCATTGAATAATTAAAATATACATTGTATCCCTATTGAGTAAAAAATTATCACTAATTTTTTTTTAAAGAAAACTAAAATATTATTAATTCATCTCAGCTAAATCAGCTGTAATAAGGCCTTCAATACAACTGGGATGACGACCAATCCAAACACTAGCCTCACTAGAAGAAAAGGCTAATTGAGCTAATGTTTGGGCGGCCATATTGCTCTCACGAGAAATATGGTTACCAGAGGAATTCAATGTCCTTAATAATCAGAGACTCCGCAGCAAATCCTTGATCTTCATGTACCGCCCGAAATATATTCAAAGCATCACTCTCAACTATGGAGATTCCCGCCCGAACAATATTCAAAGCATCACTCTCAACTATGGAGACTCTAAGGCCCATGTCCTTAGCAAAGCGCAATCCCTTTCGAATGGCTACACAGTCTGCCACGAGAGGGGAGAAAGAGCCAGCCATTTGCTTCGAAAAAGCACCACAAACCCGGCCTGACGAATCCTGAATAAGACTACCTATTCCTGTGCTAGTTCGTCTGGGATAACGGAAGCGTCAACATCTAACTTCAACATTCCAGCAGCAGGTGCTCTCTACTTCCTCTTTTGTACATCCATCTTCCCATTCTCAATGATTTGAGCATGCTGATAAGATTGAAACTCAGCCAGCCACAAACTTGCCATGGATAAAACTTATTTTCCTTCTTTAGTCTTCTCTCCATGGGTAAATTCATTCCTATCCTTCCATACAAACCACATGACTACACAAAACAACTCAAATTCATCCCAAGGAAAGATTGTTTCCTTAGATAGCAGCAAATCATTCATCTTGTCATACCAGAAAGGTCTTAAATGCTCCCAGAAAATGCACTGACACCAAACTCTGATAGCAGCATCACTAGAAACAAGCGCACGAAAATTAGTTTCTTTTGCCTCTTAACACCTTTGACACCCGGCCAAGCACTTAACACCACGCAAGGGATGCGAGAATATTATTGAAAGCTTTCCATATAAACATTTTCACTTCATGTGGATATGCAAATGCCACAGCTTTTTCCACCAACTTCAATCCGCACTCCCCCCTGAAAATCCTGCTTCATTTCTTCGCCGCATTGCTTGGAAGTACCCGGACTTAACTGTAAATTTTCCTTTCACATCAAAGTGCCAAATGAGCTGTCCTGCTGCTGGACCGTTCCAATAGGAATACTCATAATTGCCTCCACATCAGTCCTTAGGAATATCAAATTAAGTAACTCTAAGTTTAAACCATGAAGCTACATTATCCAACAATTTTGACACAAACCAATTGAAGTTTGATGAGTTGGTTGAGTAATGGGTTTAAACAGCTCCGGTCTTGGTATCCAAGGATCGCCAAAAATTTTAGTCGACAAGCAATCTCCTACTCTCCATCTCAATTCGGTCTATAAGAGTTCCCGACCCCATAGAATGTTGCACCAAATGTATGATGGATTACTGCCTAGTTGGGTCTGCAAAAAATGATTATTAGAAAAATACTTCTCTTTAAAAACTCGACAGTGAAATTGGATTCTGGATGAGTCTCCATCCTTGCTTAGCCAACATAGCTTGACTAAACGCTCCTAGATCACGAAAGCCAAGCCCCCCTTCCGACTCTGACTTACACATCTTACACCACGACCACCAATGGAATTTCCGTTTCGAATCATTATCCCCCACACCAAAACCGAGCAATCAAACTGTGGAGCTCATCACAAAGATCAGTGCGGAGTCTAAAAACACTCATTGTATAGGTTGGAATTGCCCAAGCAACGGCCTTAACTAATACTTCTTTTCCTCCTTGCGAAAAAAGCTTGCCTTTCCAAAGTTGGAGTTTCTTACTGACTCTCTCTTTAATAGCACAAAAGATTTGCTTTTTATTCTTCCGCACAAGTGAAGGAAGACCCAAATAACGATCATGGGGATTTGCCGCATGAAGGGGCAACAAACACAGCAATGAACGCCGATCCGCCTCCTGCACATTTGGGCTAAAAGTAGCAGCCAACTTGGAAAAATTGATACTTTTCCCAGAAGCTAACTCATACCAGCCTAGAATTTCCCTCATTTTCCTACATTCATCAACTTTGGCTTTACAAAAGCATCCGCCAAAAAAAAAAAATAGTGCCTGATTTTAGGACCGTATCTGGAACAAGCAAAACCTGCTACGTCTCCTTTCCCCATTGCTCTGTGAAACAAGGTTGATAGTCCTTCTGCACAAATTAGAAATAAGTAAGGAGATAAAAGGACATCCTTGTCGAAGACCTCTCTGTGCCTTCACCTCTCCAACAGGCACGTCATTTACTAGCTAGGAAAGAGAACTTTACGGATGATTAATAATTCATGACCACTGACATCCACCTAGTAGAGAACCCCATTTTCGCCATCATTTCCGTCAAAAACAACCATTCAACCCGGTCGTAGGCTTTACTCATATCTAGTTTCAACAGCATCCAACCATTTTTTCCGTTGTTCTTCTGCTTCATTGTGTGCATATGTTAAAAAGCTTCCATTACATTATCTGTAATAGAGCGACCCAGAACAAACGCGCTTTGAGAATTCGAAATGATCTTATCAAGAACAAGCTTTAACCTATTAGCTAGTGTGACAATTTTATAAAACATATTACACAAGCTAACAGGTCTAAATTCATTGATTTTCTTTAGATTCTTAATTTTAGGTAATAAGCGCACATATGTTGAATTCAATTCCGCAATAGACTCAATATCATCAAGAACACGCAAACAGGCACAAGTCACATCCTTCCTCACAATCGCCCAATTATGCTGGAAGAAAGCCGAATGAAATCCTTCTAGTCCAGGTGCTTTCGTACCTTTCATATCAAACAACGCTTTTTTGATTTTTGCCCCAGAAAAACTAGCGTCTAACCGGTCTCTCATCTCTCTCGTGATCACTGGATTCACCAAATCAGTAATTCTAGAAATATCCTGAGCAGAACGATAACTAGTGGAAAAAATACACCAAAATACTCCTCGATAACTTATGCTATATCCTCATCCGTATTTTTGCACACTCCTCTCGAGTCTTCCCAACTGTTTATCTGCTTATCATAATGTTGTGATGCCTTCGAGTGAAAAAACTTAGTGTTCCTACCCCTCCTTTCAGCCAATCTGCCCTTGACCGCTGGTGCCAATAAAGTTCTTTGGTTGCAAGTACTTGATCAAGTAATTGCTCATGCTCACGAATTTGCACCCATTTTGCTGCTATTAAGTCCCCAACATTTCTTCATGGGGCTTTTATGTTGACCGAATTTGTTTAGAGATGTTTTAAAACTTTTTAGCAATCCACCCTTTCAATTCCTCTGCACATCTTTCTAATCCTCTAGACAGCCGAGACATAGAGCCATCCAAAACATAATATTCCCAAGTATTAGCTTACATCCTAGCTTACATTTGAAGAAGCAAAACTCTGTGATCAGAACCCAAAACTCTGATGAGCTTGAGCTGAGGGAAACAACTGTCGCCACTCATCATTCACTAAAATTCAATCTAATCTTTCTTGAACATTATCTTCATCTCATCTTCGATTACTCCAAGTCAGGGAAGGACCCGTCCAAAAGATCACAATTCACCAAAGTCTCGCGAAAAAGCAACATTGAAGGCATGCTCCTATCTGCCCCTCCTTTCTTTCTGAGAAACACATCATCTCATTGAAATCTCCTACACAAACCTAAGGGGAATTTGAGAGAGATTTCAACCTTCTCATAAGTTCCCATATGTGTTTTTTCTCAGTATTATTAGGCTGTCCGTAGATACCAGAAAATCTCCAACTGTTTCCAAGCTGATAAACAATTTTGGCATTAATGTGACAATTAGAGAAATTTCTGAGAGAAACCTGGACCCCTTCCTTCCATAGCAACATTAGACCACCCCTCGACTCCACTAAATCTACTATAAAACTAAAGTTGACAAACCCCAAACGACAGGCCAATGACTTAGCTCGTCTTCCACCCAATTTCGTTTCCATTAGAAAAACTATTAAAGTATAAAACTATTATTGGCCCACATCCTAACAGCTTAAGCTTTTGGGATGGATTGATAAACTAACATGGTATCAGAGCCACTCTCTGATCCTTGATTTTCCTTGCCAACCAGAATGCCAAAATACGGAATGGCTGGCGGGAAAGAAACCTCATCATCCGAGGTTACCTCTGCCTCATCAGGGGCTGTCAATCCGATTCAGATTGATGGATTTGAAGCCCCCTTTCAGCAAATCACGAGTCACAAATTCAATGGACAGAATTTTGTCCAATGGTCACATTCCGTAATGATGTTCATAGAAGGAAAAGGAAAAGAAGACTACCTCACCGGTGATGCTGCACAACCGGATGAGAAGGATCCCAAGTTTAAAACTTGGAAAACAGAAAATAGCATGGTTCGGTCATGGCTGATCAACTCCATGAATACCGAGATGGGAGAAAACTTTATGTATTACAAAACACCAAAGGAGATGTGGGATGCGGTGAAGCGGAGTTATTCCAACAGGGAAAACACTTCAGAGATTTTCAGGCTCAAGGGAATTCTGAACGATCTTCACCAAGGAGAACTAAACGTAATGGAATACTTTAATACTCTATCACGCCATTGGCAACAACTGGACATCCTTGACGAAACAACATGGCATTGTGCTGAGGATCATAAGCGATACAAGGAAATTCTGGAAAGAGATAGGGTGTACAAGTTTTTGCTTGGTCTTAATAAAACCTTAGATGATGTTCGTGGAAGGATCTTAAGCACGAAGCCTCTACCAGATGTTTGTGTGGTCTTATCAGAAGTGAAGTAGGAAGAGAGCCGAAAGAAATTAATGCTAGGAAACCCCAATGATGTTGTGATCTCGACTTCTAATGATGCTGGAAACTCAACTACAGATGCTTCTGCCTTCGCCGCACGAGGACCACAATCCAATAGCGAGAACCAACAAAGAAGAAACCGGCCTTGGTGTGATCATTGCAAGCGATCCGGACACACCAAAGATAGTTGCTGGAAAATCCATGGGAAACTAGCAAATTGGACCCCTCAGAAGCAGAATGAAGGAAGAGGCTTCCAAGCCTCCCAAGATAAGCATGGAATGGATGCTCCCACACAACAACAACACGCAGAATCTTCGATTCACTGAACAAGGAGCAGTTAGAGCAACTTTATTGTCTTCTCACATCACCATCTAAGCCAATTTCTAATGTAGGGTTGTGCACCACGACACATAATGGTAACCATTCAGCCTTGATCTCATCACTTCATACCCAGGAATCGTGGATCATTGATTCCGGTGCCTCTGACCACATGACAGATTGTTCCAAACACTTTTCTTCCTATACTCAATATTCTAATACTGCTAAAATTAAGATTGCCGATGGGTCTCTAGCTACTATTGTTGGAATAGGTTCAATACAAATCTCAAAAAACCTTATTCTTCATTCCGTCCTACATGTTCCAGCCTTAAAGTGTAATTTGCTGTCCATTAGTAAACTCAATCGTGACAATAACTGTGTAGCTAATTTTCACTCTTCTATGTGTCAATTTCAGGACCTATCATCGAGGAAGACGATTGGCAGTGCTAGAGCCTATGAGGGACTTTATTTCCTTGAGAATTCAGAATCTGAGAGTCGACAAGTACATGTGTCAGGAGTGTCTTTTATTTCGGTTTCTACTAATAAAGAAATAATGTTGTGGCATCATAGACTTGGCCACCCCAGTTTTTCCTATTTGAAATTTTTGTTACCGGCTCCTATTCAAGAATAAATATACTATTTCATTTACTTGTGATATTTGTCAATTTGCGAAGCATATGCTTGTACCTTTCTCACCAAAACCATATGCACCCTCTATGCCTTTCTCCTTAATTCACAGTGATATATGGGGCCCATCTAGGGTAACAACCTTGAATGGCAAACGATGGTTCATCAGTTTATTGATGACAATACACGGGTAACTTGGGTTTACTTGCTTAAGGAAAAATCTAAAACCAGCCAAATCTTTCAAACCTTCCACAAAATGGTCCAAACTCAATTTCAGAAAAAGATTTCGGTTCTAAGAACTGATAATGGCAATGAATACTTCCAGTCCACTTTGGGTAATTATCTTGACCAACATGGAATCATTCACCAAAGTTCTTGTACTGAAACACCACAGCAAAATGGAATTTCAGAAAGAAAGAATTGACATCTGTTGGAAGTGGCCCGTGCCCTTATGTTCACAATGAATGTACCCAAATATTTGTGGGGTGATGCCATTTTAACCACGGCCTTTCTCATCAATAGACTACCAAGCCGCCCCCTCAAATTTCAAACCCCATTGTTTGTTCTTACAACTCAAGTCCCATACTTCAATATCCTCACAAACAACCTTCCTCTTAAAACCTTTGGTTGTATTGCATTTGTCCATGTCCATTCCCAACATCGCTCCAAACTCGATCCCCGAGCCATAAAAACCATCTTCCTTGGATATTCTCACAAAAACGGGGTATCGTTGTTTCTGCCCACAAACAAAAAAATCCTTTGTTACCTGAGATGTTACCTTTTTTGAAGAGATACCTTATTATTCCCACACTTCGCTTCAGGGGGAAAGTAATGATAAAGAAGCTTATGTGTGGGAATGGGACGTTACAGCCACAGTTGAAGAAGCTTCGCCACTAACAATTGAAGGAACTTTGGCCCCACAGTCAGCTCCCATTGTCGAGATTCCAGTTCCAGCCCAAACCGAAACTGAACTTGAAGATTCACAACCACCTTCACAGACCTCACAGCCATAGCAGTCGTCCTAGCCTTGTTCACAGCCAATCCCGCAGCCACCTTCGTTGCCAAATCCACAACCACCTCCAAAACTGCAAGTCTACTCTCGGAGAAAAAATTTTCAAGGAAATAAACAACTCACAGGCAGGCACTGTGGACTGCCCTAAATCTGAACCTATGGTGGGTCCTAATCCTTCATCCTTAGGTAAACCCGAAACTCTTCATGATAGACTAGATGATCCCATTGCTCTACGAAAAGGTGTTAGGACATGTACAAAACACTCAATTTCCAAATTTGTGTCATATGATAATCTATCACCCTCGTTTCGTGCTTTCACAACAAACCTTTCTAGATTTGATGTTCCCAGGACGATTGAAGAAGCTCTAGCTGTCCCAGAATGGAAGATTGCGGTGCTAGAAGAGATGCGTGCCCTTGAGAAAAACAAGACTTAGAGCCTAGTAGAACTACCACAAGACAAGAAAGTAGTGGGATGCAAGTGGGTGTTCACAGTTAAAGTAAAGCCAGATGGTTCAGTGGAGCGGTACGAAGCCCGATTGGTAGCAAAGGGCTTCACACAAACCAACAGGTTAGACTACACAAAAATGTTTGCTCCAGTTGGAAAGCTCAACACTGTTCGGGTTCTCTTATCCTTAGCAGCAAATATGGATTGGCCTCTTTATCAACTTGATGTAAAGAATGCCTTTCTGAATGGAGAGCTAGAAGAAAAAGTATATATGAGTCTCCCACCTGGTTTCTATGAGGGCAAACGGGACAAGACAGTGTGTAAGCTGAAAAAGTCTTTATATGGTTTAAAGCAGTCACCTAGGGCTTGGTTTGAAAGATTCTCCAAAGTAATCAAAGGTCATGGATACTTACAAGGACAATCAGATCATACTCTCTTCGTCAAGCATTCCACGAACAACAAGGTTACAGTTTTGATCGTATATGTGGGCGACATAATATTGACTGGGGATGACTTCCAAGAGATGAAAGAAATTAAGAAGATTATGGCTAGGGAATTCAAGATCAAGGACCTAGGATTCATGAAATATTTCCTAGGAATGGAGGTTGCAAGGAGTAAGAAGGGGATCTCCATATCACAAAGAAAGTATACGATGGATTTATTAGAAGAGACAGGAATGCTCGGTTGCAAGCCCATAGACTCTCCTATTGAACCGAGAGGAAGGAAGAATTTAGGTGATGGAGATCTGGTAGACACAAGTAGATATAAGATTGATCTATCTCTCACACACTAGACCAGACATAGCATTTGCAGTCAGTGTGGTAAGCTAATACATGCATTCACCACGCCAAAAACATCTTGATATAGTCCATCGCATATTAAGATATCTCAAGAAGAATCCAGGGAAAGGACTATTCTTCCGGAAGAATGAGGATAGGAAGGTGAAGATCTACACGGATGCAGATTGGGCAGATTTTGAAGAAGATAGGAGGTCAACATCTGGGTATTGTACTCAGGTTTAGGGAAACCTAGTGACTTGGCGTAGCAAAAAACAGGCTGTAGTCGCAAGAAGTAGTGCTGAGGCTGAATATAGGGCTATGACTCATGGCATTTGTGAGGCAATCTGGATAAAACGACTACTGGAAGAATTAAGAATTGAGTGTGAGTTTCCTATGCAGCTCTATTGCGACAACAAGGCTACGATTAGCATAGCACACATAAACATGTGGAGGTGGACAGGCATTTTATCACAAAAAAAATTGAGAGTGGGATAATCAGTATCGGATACGTTCCTACGAAGCAACAAGTGGCTGATATTCTAACTAAAGGACTGCACGGACTAGCGTTTGAAGAGTTAGCAAGCAAGCTCGGACTCATAGACATTTACGTCCAAGCTTGAGGGGGAGTGTTGGCATATCAGATTAGGTTGATCTAATCAGATTTCACTGGGATAAATCAATTTGGAAGATTTTGAATATTCAAATCTTCCCTTATCTTCTCCTATTGATTATCCCAGAGGTTTAGGATTAGCTATTAGTCAATAAAATCTAATTTGATTATTAAATTCAAATCAGTCACTTTATTAGGAGATTTTCTTTTCTTTTTATTCGGATAAGCCAACCTACCTTGGCTGTCTATTTAAGTGTATTTCCGCCACATTGAATAATATTGCATATTATTTTCTTTCAAATCCGCTTTCATGGTATCAGAGCGGGAGGTCCTGGGTTCAAACTCCCGTAATTGCACTCTTTATCTCCATTTAAAATTATCATCATGTGTTGGGACTTTAACATATATCGGGCTTAAATATTCACGTGTTGGGCTTTCCAATTAATTTACCCACACGATTGCCCATTGTCCAGCCCACACGTGAGGGGGAGTGTTAAAATATAAAACTATTGTTGGCCCACCTCCTAACAGCTTAAGTTTTTGGAATGGATTGGTAAACTAACAAAAACCACCTCCGGGGACAAGCGATATTGCTTTCTGTGCTCTCTTGAGTGCACGGGGATTCCCCAGTCCCCGAGCATTCCAACTCATCAGACCCATTGGGTTTGGTGGGGCTATCAACAGCCCTCCGCCATTTTCCCGCCCAAAGTATAAGACAAATTTTCAAAAACTCTCCATACCTTTCACTTTTCGTACCATCAGCCTCATCAATCTTCTTCCTCTTTGATGCGATTCCAGAAGCTGCTGGCTCTTCTTTTCTCCCGCCCTTGCGCGGTCTAGTCGACTTCTTTGGGTTTCTCCTATCCCCTTCTGCCGAACTGCCTATTGTGAAAGTGAAAGCCTCTTTGAAACGAGAAGCATTTAGCATCTCAATTTCAGAGAATGTATTAGGAGATACGACATCACGTTTTGATACCGAATTATTAGCCTTGTCTTCGTCATTCACAGTAATGACATGTGCTTTCTTTAACTCCTTTCCATTCGGCTCATTAATCTTCACTAAAAGCCCATTGTCCCCAAGCCCACTTTGTTGACTAAAAACTCTCTCCCACGGAAATTTGATTTGAAAAGATTCGCTAGACTCCGGATTTACAGGGCTAATCAATGTCCTCTGCGATTCCGTCAATCCCTGATTTTGAGGCAAATTATCTTCCAGATAATTCTGGAAATCTCTTATTGGCATTGGCACTGCTAGCTAATTCAATAACGCCCCCCTCTTGTTCTGCCACATCACTAGGCATCTCTGATCCTCCAACAAGGAACCTTGATTGGCCTTGGAAACGACTGCCGGACCGACCAAAACATCGACCCTGGCCTCACATAGCAATCACCCGTCTCTGGTTGAGATCTTGCGCTAGAACACAGAGCCATGATCCATACGGAAATTCATTCGTCTCAACACATATCTTTGCCGTCGACGCAGTACATTCACATGCCCCATGTTTGAGGAGATCCAACACTTTATGATATTTTTGTCATAGTAGATTATATCTACAGCCACCACCTCTTTGTTCCAAACTAAACCAAAACCTCCCACCGTCCCTATTAAGGGGGACATAACAAGTTTTCAAAATTCCACCTAGAAACAAATCCGTTGAAACAGTTCTTGAATCATGTTTTAGAGAGAACTAACATATAAGGTTTATGAGACCTGACCAAAGCCCCTAGGTCTCTGACCGCCGTAGTTTGGGCCAAACCACAACAGTTGGTCGCTATGCACTTCATTGGTCTAGCGGAAGGGCACGTTTGCCTTCCTCCGCTTGTTTTGAAATTGAAGAAAAGATAATAGAGTTACCTCGCTGCTACGTCGAGTTGCCCACCAGTTTTGGCTAAAACTTCCCCCATCTCAAAGAGTCTGGTGCCTCCATCCAATTTTGTGAAGATTTTACCCCCCTGATTTCAATGCTCTCCCCGCCCTCTTCCTCTTCTAGATCCCAATCTCTTTCTGGCCGATTTCGTCGCACTTCTAGGGTCAAAATTGCCAACATTACACTAATCTCCGGGGCTGTTTAGGGCATATGTGTCCGATTCATGCCCTAGCCCAGAAGATGTAGAGGCCCTTAGGCCTTTTCCGAACTCACTTTTAATGTCATCTATAACCGGGTAGACCACCTCCCTAACCTTCCTGTTTTTCAAATTGTGTTGTTGAGCCCTAATTCCTTTTAGCCCAGCCAAAGGGATCAACGCAACCTGGTGGGCCTGAAATTGATCAATTGTATCAGGGCTCAACATATAGGCTACAACATCCTTACGAGCGTTAGAGGAAGCCCTTAGGTTCACTGTATTACCTTTCAGCCTTGTTTTTGGTCATCTTTGCTCCATCATGCTCTGAAAGCCTGCTCTGTTAAACCCATCCATGTCCTGCTGTACCTCCTCAATACGCGTGCTTTGGCCTTGATCCTTTGAGGAACATATGATTGCCCCATCCTTGCCTGCTAACACATGCATGAATCCTTGCGTTGTCCTCCTCCTACTGGAGCGTACCCTGCTCTGCTGCATTCCCCTGACAGTGGCTTGATTGTAGATTTTCGTCAGACGTTGTCCCCTCAATAGAGCTTCCCCCTGCAGTGATTTCTCTGGCTATCTCCTCTACAGTTGGCTATTTTTTCGGTGATGGTCGTGGCCTCAGGCCTATTGGCCACCATAGCCAAGTGTAACTATCTGCCTTTATCCATTTTCCATAAAATTTCATTAGATTCCCATAGCCATCGTCTAGCATTGCTTCTGTCTTCATCTTGCACCGATTTTCTTCATGTCCAACCATACCACATTTGAAGCAAATCCCAAATAAAAGTTCATATCTAAAAGAAACCCACCTTTTGATTTCGGAACAGTCTCGTTGGAAAAATCCAGCAACAATGGGTCTCTCCAGATTTATCATCACCTTGACCCTGAAAAATCTGCCCCAGGTTTTGGACCCTGATTTTGGAACGAAAGTTGCTAACACTTCACCAGCTCTAGCACCAACAAGCCTAACATTATCATCTGTGAAGAAGTCGGGAGGGACGCCGTGGACTTGGACTCAGAATAGGGTTTTGTTGAAACTCATTTGGGACATTTGGAGCCCTGGCATCCAGTCTTGCAGAACCAAGTGGTGTCCACCATTAACAGTCCACGGTCTTTCGGTCATCACCCACTGCTTGTCTTCCTTGGATTTGAAAGTGAAAACGAAGACATTTGGTGCCTCTTCTTGCATGTACCACATGCAAATCTCACTCCATGCCTTCATCAGCCCATTTCTGACCACCAATTTACTCTGCTTGTGATGGGCTATAACCTTCCCAACCGCCTTTGTATCCGCCCTGATAGAAGTTAGCTTTTGATCCAGGATTAACTTGATCACATCATCAGCACAGTGTAAAGCTTCTGCTTTGCGGATGAGCTCCTCTAATTGCGCTTCTTCACTAGGCTCCATGGCAAAGAACACACACTAGAGGCCTCAATGGAACAGGAAACAATCTTTAGACTATATGCCACACTAAAGAGTATGATGCCAACAAAGGCTAACAGAGATATACGATCTCAAAGGGCACTACGACCCACCGGGTACCATTACCCTATTTTCTATCCTTACCATCACCACATAATTATTAGCCTAAAAAAACACGTTAGCCAAAGAACTTCAAGTTAAAGAATAATTTAAAGAGGAAACTAATAGTATCTTGATCATCGCCACATAATCAAGCTCAAATAAAAGTAAATTATCATAAACCAAGTATTTGAACAGGAAAAAGGGCAAAAAAAAAAAAGGAGAAACCCCCATGTCAAACAATCCAATCACCACTCTGCTATGCATACAACATCAAATAGCAGCAAAAGACAAAGATCAGCATAAGACACTCCACTCAAGTAGTCAGAGATTAGGGTACTCAAAAAAAAAAAAAAAAACATAAAGCACCACTATTTTTAATAAAGCTTAAATTAGAAATATATCAGTCTATTCCAATACAGATTGAAAAAAAAAAAAAAAAAGAAAAAGAAAGCCCATTTATTCAAATACAAAAAAACAAGCAAACTTTCCCACAAACCATCATTCCCGCAGTTCACCCCCACAAAAAAAAAAATCTCTTTAATCGCAAACAAACAACAGAAAGGCAACACAAAAACAAAATATTTCCAAGATCAAGTGCAGTATCCGTTCTCACGAGTTAAAAAGAATAACCAAACAATCATAAGAGCACAAAACTCACCAAACTACGAAGAACCCACATGAGTCCCAACAGGCACATGAATGTCCTTGTACAAACAAACATAAGGAGCATCACATCCCACATACTTCCCAGTCCACCTTCCCTCATCAATGTAGCTCGCATCCCAAACCGAGGCATACAAGAACATTGGTTTCTCCGGGAACCCCTCGCCTTCTCTCCGCTCCTCTCTCCTCACAACCTTTCCATCAATCAGCCACTCGATCAAATCTGGACCCCACTTGATGACATACTCATGAAACCCGTCGGAGCAATCAAAACCCAGATTGTGAATTTGCTCTCTGTTTCCAGTGCCAGAAGTGTAGACGTTGGTCTGGACGACGGTCCGGTCCTTGCCCAAGAACTCGAAGTCGATCTCGTCCTGGGACTTGTCGCCCTCTAGGGAGGAGAGGTAGATATTGAAGTTGAGGCCGCTGGTGTTGCCGCCGGGGCACTTGATGTGGGCCCGGAAGGTGCCGTGGAGGAAGCGGGTGGTGGTGCGCCAACGAGCGCCGCCACGGTGGTCGAAGGTGAGGGCGATGGAGTTGGAGTCGGCGCAGTGGGCGCAGGCCTCCGGAGTGTAGTCAATGGTGATCTCCTTTAGAGGTTGGGTCTGGTGGAGAGGCGCTGGATGGAGAGCTGGGTCCGCCATTGGAGAAAGATCGGATCAAGCTCGACTTCGAACGTGGGCGTTGAATTTGAGTCAGAAAACAGAAGTGACACTCGTACCCTATTTTTATTTCCCCCTTCTTGTTAGCATTCTGAGTCCTAAATTTTCATCAATATGACAACTTGGCCCTTCAATTTGTGACTTTGGCAAAGTACTACTAATTTTAAATTGGACACTTTAACTCAATTTAAATAGAAAATATAATTTAAATTGTGTATTTATTAAACACGAATTTAAATTTTATTTACTGTTTAAATTGAATTAAACTGAACTAAAAAAAAAAACAAACAGGGGGCCTAAACTCTTTTTTACCATTTTAATCTATTACAATAAAATTGAGAAATTTTTTTTGAAATTTAATGGCGGTAATCATGTATTTATTGTATGTGATAAATTGAAATTTTACAAAATTAGTTTATATTATGTAAAGAATGTTATTTTCATTACTGTTAAAACCCATTAAAAATAAGAGAAAAAATTCAAAAAATATCTCCACACTTTTTTTAAATACAACTTTTACCTCTGAATTTTAAATACAAAATTAGTTTATATTATGTAAAGAATGTTATTTTCATTACTGTTAAAACCCATTAAAAATAAGAGAAAAAATTCAAAAAATATCTCCACACTTTTTTTAAATACAACTTTTACCTCTGAATTTTTTAAAATATAAAAAGTATCTCGTGTCTTTTTCAACTCATATAAAAAGAATCTTTTTTAAAACTTTTTAGATTTATTTTTTTAAAAAATGGCCAAATTATTTTTGAATATCTCATATACTGTCTAAATTTATGATGGGCTATACTAACTTCAACGTACCCCTCCTAGATTTTTTTTAAGTAAACCTCTAAGAAAATTTACAATACCAATTTGAACCTTTTTTTGTTGCTTTTTTTTTTTTCATTTTAATAAGAAAGTGAAATCTTTTTTGAAAAAGATGTAATTTTTTTAAAAAAATTCTATTTGGCAAAGTATGACAAATTTATTTACCAATTTTTGAGGTTAGTGTATTTTGTAGTGCATAATAAACCAACTTGCTAGAATTGTCCAGTACTATTATGCAACACAATTTTTAGATCTTTTCTTAAGATTTCACTTTCTTATCGAAAAAAAAACTTGTTCAAATTAGTGCTGTAAATTTCCTAAGAGAGCCACTTCAAGAAAGAGAGAGAGAGGTACTACTATGTAACAAAATTTTTACATCCTTTCTTAAGATTTCACTTTCTTATCGAAAAAAAAACTTGTTCAAATTAGTGCTGTAAATTTCCTAAAAGAGCCAAGAGAGAGAGAGAGAGAGAGAGAAATTAAGAGGGGTGTTTGGAAGTTGGTAAAGGCCAGCATTAATTTGAATATTATGTGGGATATTTAAGGATAATTTGGCTATTTAAAAAAAAAACTAAATCAGAAAAGTTAAAAGAGGGGATTGTCACGCCCCCCAAACGGGGTGGGTGACGTGGAGCTCGATTAGAGATAATAAAGCAGATTCCCAAACGAACCCCACTCGACTGAATTAAAATATAAATGAATTACAGAATCCCAGAGCCTTTGACAACACAGGGCTCCACCCCACAGGACATACAGTATCGTACATACATGCTCATGTAAATAATCATTACAACAGACATCAACCACACTCTAGTAAATCTAAATATTACATAAGTTTACAGAATTCTCAAATTCCTTACATTTATTCAAGAGGATGAACTCAATCCTTACTTCATCCAACAGTAGCAATCTTCCGCTACCCCGCACCGCTCCTACAGTCTTCTGGGAGGGGTTTAATACATTTGAAACATAAAACATGAGTGAAAGGCCCAGTAGGATATAATTTGAAATGACTTAAGTGAATAGACAAATGAGCACGTAAATAAATAAATGAATAAGTAAATAAAATTAGACATTCAGTCCCGACAGAATAGCCAGAATCTCACATCTTTTTTCTCAAATGAAATATAACTGAAAATAACCGTATTATAGGCTTCAGTAAGTAATTAGTATAAATTACTTACCTAACCAAGTGCCTCGCCTACCCGGACCGAGTTTCGGGTTCTGCCCCCGAGGATGCACTATCCGCATCCTATCTAGGCTTACAGCAATAGACTTTATTACCAGTTCACAAGATCTCTTTGCTTAAGAAATCATTCATTAACCTTTCTGAAATTATTTTTACGACCCTACGAACTACTCAAGCTGCGGGCCCCATGACTGGGCAAGCCATGAGGTTCCATGACTGGACAAGCTATGGATTCCATGGACAGGACAAGCCATGGATCTCCATAAAATAAACAAGTCATGGTTTTCAAAGAGTTTTCTTTCGCAAACCAATCCCTTTCTTTAAAACATTTTCAAGGCCAAAATCCTTTTTTGAAAACAGGCTCACAAGGAAAAAGGATAGAAATCCTACCTCGCACTATCAAACCTGGGACTAGCGTTGCCTTTTCCGGCTCCCGCTTCCTCAAGCCCCTTCAGTCTCAATCCTCAGCGATCACTGATGCAAGACAACACTTTAGGATTAATTCTCATTCCTAAAGCAATCCAAATCTCAATTAGCTACCAAGATTTCCAATTAGTGTGCCCTAATCCATTTTCATATTTCAAATTATCATTCCAAGGGTTTTCCATCTCAAATCAAGGATTAAAGATGCTAATCCATTTATCCCAAGTCCCCAAATGAAGCTAATTTGGGTTCTCCCCGAAAACAGGGGTCAAAATAGCATTTTCAGACCAAACAGGGTCAAACTCATGTGCACCGATCGACCGGTGACAGAGCAGTCCAACACTACCGGTCGACTGGTAATGTGCACACCGGTCGACCGGTCAGCCTATGCAATCCGGTCGACTGGTTTCCATGTGATCTGGTCGACCAGACAAGTCGACCGGTGGAATCAGCTGTGCGAGAGAAGCTCGCGGAAACCAGTCCAAAAACCTACAAATCCAGTCCCAAATCCAAATATTTTAAAGGAAAACCACTAGATCCGGGTTCTAGGTCCTAAAACAAGTCCAAAGAACCCAAGATCTCCAATTTCTACCATAGTTTTACTCAAAAACCATCAAAATCCGGTTTGAACCAAAAATAAGTTTTGAAATTCAAAAGCTTGAGATTCAAAAGAGGTTCTTTCAGTAATCTTACCTCGAATCCTTCTCTTGACGTTGAAAATGCTTTGAAACTCTTATTTGGTTCAAGATCTGTTTGATTTGGGACAAAAACGAGAGTGAGAGAGAAAGAGAGAGAGCACGGGAGTGAAGAGAGAGAGTGAGAGTGAAAGAGAGAGAGAAAGTGCACGGGAAGGAAGGAAGGGAATAAGAAAAAGAAAGAAAAGAAAAGAAAAAGAAAAAGAAAAGAAAATAGACAGATACTAACATTTAAAGGAAGCAGTTCAGAAATGCGCCCATACACACTTCTGGGTTAAAATGAAAATTACTGAGAATACTTTAAATACCTTGGAACTATTTAAATTATACGTCAGAAACATTTATTAATCAAAACTCAATTAATCAAGTCAGATTAGGCACACTAATAATCTTAATTACCTTAATTAATCTCAATTAATTCTTCAGGGTGTTATAGCTCCACCTCCCTTAGGCAAATTTTGTCCTCGAAATTAAAGCTTACCTCAAAGCGTAAACATATGCGGATACTGCTCCTGCATCGTTGTCTTAAGCTCCTATGTCGCTTCTTCAACTCCATAGTGCTGCCATAATACTTTCACTAGGGGAATCTCACGATGACGTAGACTCTTTATTTTCTGGTCAAGAATCTGAACTGGTGCCTCCTCGTATGACACGTCATACTGTATCAGAATGTCAAACCACTGCACTACAGGTTCCGGCTCAGGTTGACATTTCTGAAGTATGGAGACATGAAACACGTCATGAACGTGAGATAATTCAGGCGGTAAAGCCAATCGGTACGCCACCACTCCGACTCGTTGCACGATCGGGAATGGTTCCACATACCTTGGTGCAAGTTTCCCTTTTACACCAAACCGAATAACTCCCTTGCGTGGGGAAACCTTTAGCAAGACAAAGTCACCTTTTTGGAATTCCAAAGGCCTACGCCTTCTGCCAGCATAACTTTTCTGACGACTTTGAGCTGTCAACAGTCGTTCCCGAATCACAGCTATCTTCTCATTATTCTCTTGAATGACTTCCGGTCCAGTGCTCAGTCGATCCTCTGATTCCTACCAACACACAGGTTACCTACAAGGACGAAGATACAGAGCTTCAAATGGTGCCATTCCAATACTGGCATGATAGCTGTTGTTATAGGTGAACTCAGCTATGTGCAGGTATTTCTTCCAGTTCCCACCAAATTCCAGAATACAAGCACGAAGCATATCCTCCAGAATCTGAATTACCCTTTCAGATTGCCCATCAGTCTGAGGATGAAATGCTATGCTAAAATTCAAATCTATTCCCATGGAGTCCTGGAAACTCCTCCAATACCGTGCATTAAAACGCGTGTCACGATCAGACATGATAGACAGTGGCACTCCGTGTAGCCTCACGATGTGCTCCAGGTACAATTCTGACAGAATCTTCTGAGAATACATCGCACCAAGTGAATTTTGGCCCAAAAAATTGGGTTGGCGGGCTACGCCCAGCCACTTTTGTAGAGCTCGAAAAGTGCTTCAATTTGGTACATTATAGGCCTAGCACCAATTTTTGGATAAAAAGTTATGGCCGTCCTCAGTCACAGTTCTCCGATTTTTTTTTCCTTCAAAACTGATGAAAACAAGTGACTTTTGGCCCAAAAAATTGGGTTGGCGGGCTATGCCCTGCCACGTTTATAGAGCTCGAAAAGAGCTTCGATTTGGTATATTATAGGCCCATCAACGATTTCTGGATCAAAAGTTATAGCCGTCTGCAATCACAGATCTCTGATTTTTTTTCCTCTGAAACTGATGAAAACAAGTGAATTTTAGCAAAAAAAATATGGTTGGCAGGCTATACCCTGCCACGTTTGTAGAGCTCGAAAAGAG